TGGTATCGTCAAAAATCCACGAAAGCACTCCTGTCTTTCGCTATGTGGTCTGTTGCTGCTGAATCTTTTTCGGCTCGCTACAATCGCGAGCAAAATGTCCCTTGTTACCACAATTATAGCTTTCACCTTTGCCATATTCCTCTTCCTGGCAGATGCTTCCTTTTTTGTGTTTGAAAAACTTTCTCTTCTTCCCTGAGCCTTATCAGAATTGCCTTTTCTTTGGGATCCACCTTGGAATTTACGTTTAAATCCCTCCCACCATGTGAACTGGAACCAGCCATATACACATCAGATTTGCCTTACTCGCATTAAGCGATCTTCTTCCAGTTCCAAATGGCGTATGGCATCTTCTAAATTTCTGATGCCCTCATTGTGGGTAAGGTGTATTTTCATATGTTCCCAATTTTGAGGCAATGTCTTATGATAGCTTGAACCTGTGGTTCATCAGTTAAGACATGCCCTGCATCTCTCAACTCATTTATCATGTTTGACAATGCCGTAAGTGTACTCTCATAGTATGTTCAGGCTTCTTTTTATATGTGTCAAACTTGATAGTGGGTAACCGGAGTTTGATAATGGACATACCGCCAAACTTTGTAGCAAGTGCGGACCCGTGTCCTTTGCTAATTCGTAATCCCGTACTTCTTCATGAGATCATTGTCCATGCTGCTCAACAAAGTGATGCGAGCAATGGAATTCTTCTTCTTCCATATGTCATAAGCGGCACGGTCTCGTCTATGTTGACCGTGACTCCTTCTTCAGGCTCTTCCATGGTTGTAGTAAGAGTCTTAAGAACCTCTTATCTTCCAAAACATATTGGATTTTCATGCTCCATATCTCATAATTGTCGCCGTTAAATTTTTCTCCTTTGTTAAGTTCGGCGACAATGTTCTTAGATGCAGATGCCATTTCTAACAAAATTACTGTTATAATGTATGTTATTCAGTGCTCGGAACATACAATTCATTTAATTAATTATACCAATATAATTGTATATTAGATTTGGAATCAAAAGTTAACAGTGTCAACAATCATCATCCAAATTCCAATTTCCAATTATCATAGATATAATTAACTGCAATTCAAATATATTTAGACACAATTATATAAATATAAATCAACATCAATTCACATAAATATTAAAATTTTAATAATAAATAAAATTAATTCCATTATGTATAGAATTCAACATGTAATGAAATAAAACATACAATTTCAAAAAAAAATTAATGTACAGCCACATTCCTAAAACTGGGAAGGATCTGATAATCCTTATCCTAAGGTCTTTATCTAACTTGTAATTAACCTTAGGCAGGGAACTCCCATTTTTCTTGTGATGTCCTTTACGAGTGGGAACTCCTATTAATGCTCCACTGTCTTTTTCGCATCTCAATCTATGTACTCCTTGATATAGTTATTGACTAAACGTCTATAATTTTTATTGTCATCTTTAAAATTATGAACTTTCAGCTTGGTCCAAACCATATCAAGGAGACCAACGAGATTAGGGTAACCAAGAGCTCTCTTAGAACTTGGTATTCGACTCCTCCTTTAATCCCCCTATCCACAATTTTTTGAATCTTTTCATTCACATAAATGAAATGATTTACGAGTTGCACCAACTCATCCTCTGTGTCTCTTAAAATCAATGTGTGAGTTTGAAGTTCTAATCATGTTCATAACCCTTTCCTTTAACGGGTGTTCTAGCAACCATTGCACGTCTATAACGTAACATTTTTCTGTAACAAATACAAAAAAAAACTATTTATTTATCAAATAAAAGTTGACTATATTTGATAAATAATATATATACGTGTTTATGTTTAATAACAAAATTAACTCATAACAATATCAAGTATTCATTTTATTCCTTACAGCAAAGAAACAAAATTTAGAATACTTCACGTGTTTCACGCGCTGCCCAAGTGGCCACGCGTCGACAGATCTCCACACCGCCCCATGCGCCGGCAGGGTACCACGCGCGCGTCACGCATCCCACGAATTCGCGGTCGACTTGTTTCCACATTCAATTGGGTCAATCCCGACCCATGTTTAACCCGTTGACTTTTTGACTTTACGGGTCGAGTGTTGACCGGTTTGACTGATCCATTTGGTCTTACGGGTCAGGCGGTGACTGGTTTGACTGACCCGTTTGGTCTTGCAGGTTGGGTTTGACTAATTACAGAGTTTATACCAGTTAGGTCATATGGGTCGTGTCCCACGGTCAACTTGACCCATTTTTATTTTTGTTATGGGTTGGGCCCATAGGAATATATTGATTTGTGCATGTAATTAACATAAAACAAAATTGCCCGTGGTTAGGCTTGCTTCAACAATGGAGACTTGGGTTCAAGTCTCATCACTTACGCCTATTTGAAATTTTTAAAAAAAGGAAGTCAAACAGGGAAACGACATGTCATCATCAGTTTGGATCAAAAACGACATGTCGGTTCTTTCGTCTTCAACCTCTATCCAGGTCTGCAACTGGGTACCCGACTCAGAAATTAACCCGAAACCCGAAACTTCAAAGAGGCAATCTAAGTCATTTAACTCCACTTTTTATGATTCAAAAACCATTTTCTTCATAATTTCATAAGGAATCTCTCAGTCTATTATCATTACCAAAAAAACAACTTTTTACGTACAAAATTTGAAAATTCAAAACTGCATTTGACAAACCAATAACATGTTTCAACATTAATAGTATGATTTAAAACATAGAACTACGGCTCTGATACCAATGTTGGAAATAACATAGAATAACATATCTAACATAATCCCAAGATCTATCACCATTGCAATCACATTTGTATATAAATAAACTCAATGAATTAACACAGCATAATACCCTGTTCCTTATCACTGAAGCAATAAAGTAATCTGGAGAAAAACCAGAAGTATATTTTCTTTTCCAAATTCTAGAGAGAGAGAGCATTTTTTTCCTTTGCGTTTTGGTGAGTTTTAGTGAGTAAACTTTTCTAAAAGAAAAACCTTCCTTTTATATGGGAACGGTTCGTGAGAAACTGCCAAAGGCTTTCCACTTCTCACACCCCTTCATCATAGTGTATTTATCCAATATAACATTATATATATATATATATATATATATATTATATATATATATATATTATATATATTATATGTCTACTGACCAAGTGGGGGCCTCCACCCCCTTCGTCACATCACCACGTGTATCTTCTGCTTTGGATTTTTGTTTTTTGATAGCAAAATTAAGAGCCCCCATTCTTTACTATATTCTGTTCCAACCTCAGTTCCAACAAGTTCCATCCTGGTACCCGACCTCGGGTCCAATTCCAGGTTCCAGGTCTAATTCTAGTTCTTACACGAAACAGACCAGTATAGTGTCAGTTTCAAAAAATTGGAACCGAAACCGACCTTGTGAAGGTCGGTTTTGGGTAGGTTCCAATTCTACTCGTCATTCCGATTCTACTCACTACCCATACTCACCCTTCATTGATGCCTCTTGGGATAACTTCAAATCAAAGATCACAATGCTAATTTGAAACATACCATACTTTTAAATTTGTATCCGAAAATTTTATCATTATCTCTATGCAGTATTGCATGTCATTTACATGATGCATTACTTTGGAATTAGATCTTGGGATTCTTCTCCAAGAATTAATGCTTTCTTTTACAATGAACCATTTGATTAATTTATACTTGTGCATAAAACAAGAATGATTGGAATGGAGAATACTCATTGTAACTACACCTGTAACTTTTTTTTATTTTTTATTTTTTAATTTCGATGATGCTTTTTTCGGGTAAACCCTTGAAGAATAGTCCCATTTATAGCTGGAGTTGAAATAACATTGCCCTTCACCATGGAAATAATGTTACAGGAAGAGTGAGTTCCTCTAGGTTTTGTTTCATTCACCAAGTCCAAGGTACAAAACATCAGAAAGTTCTGTGTCTGTTTGTTCTACTTAGTGTTTCTAAACTGGGGCATAATTAGATATGGTTTTGAAGCCTACAGCTCCACCAGGCACGATGAAACATTGAACCAAATTACAAAAGCGTAGAAACATTTATGATTCCCTAGAAAAGCTGATTAATAAGAGATGAGAAATTCAAGTTTAGGGTTATTTTAGCTTAATATGTTGATGGGTGATATGTTATTTTCTTTTCCTTTTTCTGTGTCACAAGGACTCAACCTTCTAGTTTGAGAGGAAGTGCAACAGGCCAGAGAGATTGAGATACCATAGAAATATTACAAAAAACACTCTGAAGACCATAAAAAATAGTGATAAAATCAAAAAGACACCATAAACAAGGTTTGTTATTTCTTTCCAATATATTTTTGGAAGCACACTCAGTTTTTGTTTACTCTTCCAAAGATCAAAGTCAAGGAGTCCCAATCACTGACAGAAAAATCATGCCATGGAAGAGGGAATTTTAGCTTGGAGTGCTATTTGTTATACATAACGAAAAAAAGCATCTACAATATTACATGATTACCACATCCTCCGTAAGATGCGAATATTAAAAAAGGCATAGTCGATGTCAAATGCTTGGGTGGATTTTAATGTATCGACCCATGGGAATGTGTCGCCACATGAGGCTTTGGCCATCAAGTTTGAGTTTTTTCTTACCTAAGCTAGAATGAAAGAAGTTCTAGTTAACCAAAATGCAATACAAGCCAACCCATTTATACGAGCGATCAAATGCATAATCTTTTTTGATAAATTTTATAGATTTAAAGAAATGAATTTTGGAATCAATTTATAATGATTTTAAAAAGAGTTTCATCTATCTGTTTTGCAAAATTTTATAATAGTTCCATATTCAATATCTCACAAGAATTGGAAAACTAAAAAGTAGAATAATATAATTTACATAACATTTCAAAATAGTTTTCTTACACCCACTACAGTATGCACCAATATTTCTGTTTTCTCTCTAATGAATCTTTTACTGTACACAAAATTTGATGACAGTAATAAATTACAGGAACCAATCAATTATAGAAACTTTTTCTAGAAAGTGTAATCAAACAATGACTGTAAAAGACTTTTACGCACTTTATCATCTAGTACCTTTAGAAGGCAAGCAACTTCACATAACCCGACATGATATCTATACAGAGATTCTTCAATCACTTCTAGTTTCATCTCATTATTTTTAGAAGGTTTCAGCCTTCTTAGAGCCCATTGCATTGCCCATATGGCCATCAGACGCATGTAACATAGTACTCTTAAACCATGATCTGTAGTCCAAGCTTCTGGAGTTTGGTAAGAGTAACTACGAAGAAAACAGCAATATGTTAGTGAATCAAGAATAAATAGTTTTGGAGCAGATAATTATCAGTGTAAATTATGCAAAATGGATAGTTTACTATTGGAATCGGAAGAATATATCCTAAAGGCAGTAACCTGAAGAGCAAAAATACTATCTATTAGACATTATTACTACCGGAGTTTTGTCCAACAATTTTCACCACCAAGAATCTGCAAGTAAATGGCTATTCGGCACATCCACCAATTTATGTTTGCAATAAATTTTAATCAATTGACAAAACCAATGATGCAATGAAATCTATAAACATTTCAAACTGATTTAGATCTAAAAAACAGACTTATAGCATAGTTAACAGCCTATTTATGGCAAATGGCTAGCACTAGACCTTGTCCTTCAAGGTTTACAAAGGTAACACCGTTATATAAGATAAAGGGGATCTTACGCATGTCCATTTTTAGACCATGCTGCTTCATAGATTCCACTGACAGTTTGAATCCCATATCAACCAGATCTTCATGGATCATCGTTACAACAACTGAATGCGTGACGACAGAACATATTTCTCTTGACAGCAATGTTGTCATATCAACTGCATTCTTCGTACAGTAACAAAGACAGAGCCTTTCCGCAGCTAGCTGAAGCTTTTGCAGTTTCATATTTCAATGTTGTCAAATAATGCTCTCCTGATAAGGATACTGCTCTGAAAAAGTGAACCACTCAATAAATTTTTATCATGAAAACTTCAAATTGGCTTTTGGACAAGAAATGAAGGAAGCAGGTTCAAACATTCACGATATTTTTGTCTTTCGTTAGTAAGTGCATTACTAAGGACATTGTATGTTTATTCGGTCTAACATTTCTGTCTGCCATCTTATGAAGGAGTTCGACAACTGTTGGTATCTCACTATTTTTTAGGAAACAAAGATAAGCGTATTAAATGTGACTAAATCTGGAGCACAACCTTTTCCCTCCATATATGACAACAACTCATTTGCCATTTCTAGTTGTCCATTTTTACACAACCCATTGATCAAAATGTTATATGTTACAACGTTTGGCACCAGGTATCCATGAAGAGAAAAATTCTGAAATAGGTCCCAAGCAGTTTCGAATCTCCCTGTTTTACATGATCCATCAATGAGGGAATTCAAACCTTCAATGCTAACTGAAAACTTTACTAGAGTATTAAACATATCCACTGCTTGCAAACCACATCCATTCTTGCAAAGTCCATCAATAAAAATGTTATATGTCCAGGAATCAGGAAAAACACTGTTAAATTGCATCTCACCAACTAAATTCTGTGCATCTTTTGCCTTAGCTTTAAGAAAAAAGCCAGTTAACAAGGTGTTTTACATAATCACATCAAGCCTAATTCCTTCTGAAATCATCTCTCGATAAAGACTAAGAGCTTTGTTGACTTCTTTATTCTTGCAATACCAATTGATTAAAGTATTATAGCAAACAACATTGGGTTTATACCCCTTTCTAGTTATAGAATCAAACAACTCCCTTGCATCACCAATTCTATCTACCAAGCAATAACCATTCTTTAAAATGTCATAAGTACAAATGTCGGGATCAACACCTCTTTGAATCATCAATTCCATAAACCTATTTGTTTCGTCCAAATTCCCTTTCTTGCAACATTCATGTATGACCACACCAAAAGTCACCACGGAAGGCCGCACACCTTGATCCATCATCAATATAAATAATCTTTTACCCTCCTCCCAATCACCCACACAACACAAACCATGAATGAGAGTGGTATAAGTGATCACATCGGGCCTACTATCAACAGCAACCATTTTCTTAAACAACTCCCTTGACTCCATAATCCTTTTCTCTACACATAGACCTTTAATCAAACAAGTAAAAGTCACAGCATCAAGGCTGAAACCCTTCTTCAAAATCCCCCAAAAATAGCAAAACCATCCAAAACCCTTTTGATATTACACATGCAATTAATCAAAATGTTCAAAATCATAAGGTCTGGAGACAACCCAATTGAATTCAACACCTTATAAATCACTTCATAACCAAACAATTTGTTGAATGATGACATTGGAGAAATGGGTTGTGAATGAATCATGTAATCAAAAAAGTAAAGGGCTTCATTGAATGTGAAGTTACCTGATCGACCATTTTCTTCAAGGAATTTAGCAAGTAAGGATCGTTCAAGGGGTTTTTTGAAAGAACACAAAACTTCCTTTTTGGATCTTGAAGTTGTGAGGTTCTACAAAGGATTTAATAAACATGAAACATTAAGTTTCAGAGATGGGGTTTGAGAGAATGAAGACGAACAAAATGTTGCTCTAAAAGCCATGAATCGAATTTTTTTTTTTTTTTTTTTTTTTTGTTAGGGTTTCTTTAAGGTAACTGAGGACAATGCAAAATGCAATTGCAAATGCATTTTAAGATTAAGAGACGAATGTTTTGATAAATTTTAGAAATAACCCTTAAGTTTCATAGTATATTGCTTTCGTTTACTTCTGTTATGCCTGAAAAGATAGAGCTGACGCTAAGCCTTATCAGCGTGGGTGGTCAGAGCTTAAGTAGGCTCTGCAGCCATGCAGATGAAGCCACGTCGCATGCTGATGTGAGCAGCATGCTCCTGCCAGTGCAGTGGTATTGGACATGTAGAAAAGGTCCACATATCCAATCCTTGCAGAGGTCGAGGAAATCACTCGAGCAGGTGAGCAACGGGACACAAAGAAGAATTTGGACGACAACCTGACCCACTCACAGATTTATAATCATTACCTCAATTCATCCCACTATAAATAGAGGGCTTCTCTCCTGTTCGTGGGATTAGCTAATTTTTCTCTGAAATAGCATACATTCTCTCTCTCTCTTGTGTATTCACTTGTATTCTCCAAGCTATAAATCAGCTCGTTGAACGCGACCTGGTCTCATATATTAGTACAATATCAGTGGACGTAGGATTCGCTTGTTTAAGCATCCAAACCACTTTAAACATTGTTCTTCATCTCTTATTCAACCCAATATCCCCATATACACGTGTGTCTTCTAAGTCAACTCAGCATTTCCCACGTGCGATTAGTTGGTGTCAAAATCAAGCATCAACAGTTCGACGCTAGAAAGAGGGCCTCATTTAGTACTTGTCTTCATCAGGAGAATCTCTGACTAATCGGTCCCACTACAGTAAATGGCTCACCGATTTGAATCTGAGCGAACCAATCATGGTGATGAAGAGATGCCCCAGGTACAAGAGGACACTTCCCCCAAAATACCCTCAGTCCCACAAAATCTCGTGGGGGATATCCCTTCAAGCTCACGGCTTGACCCAACCGTCATGAGCTACCTAGAGAGGTTTAACAATACTCTCCAAACAGTCAGCCAAAGGCTGGACCGATTGGATCGAGTCGTGCCACCCGAATCAAATGAGGCAGTGCCACTACCAAAAACGCCTACAAGTCACATGAAAGCGCGGAAAAGTGCAATAGCCCATGCCACGCGCACTACAGCGCATCAAAGAAAGGGAAAGCAAATGGCCCATAGTAGGCCTAGAGGCTCCGAGGGACTAGCGAACACCGACCGCGCCTTAGGTAGAATACCTATGGCGCAAAGGCTCGGTGACATGTCGCGGCCCGAGCCATCCCGTGCCACATCGCACGAGCACTCCCACAAAAGTGTACGGCGGGGAGATTCTCATTATCGCCAAAATGACGACTTCGATCGTTGTCGCGCAGGAAGTTCCCACCGTCGGTGGGTCTGTTTGCACCACCGCGAAGGTTAGGAAGGTTCCCTAGACCATTCAGTGCCATCACACGACTCTAACCAGCGTGTGTCAAGATCGGCCAGGATTATCGGTCAAGGCGAGGAGCAATCCGACCTACGATCTTTCCTCAACCTCAACCGTGAGGGTCAAACCCGCGTTGCGGAAAGCAATCCCCAAATGGCTCCGCTGCCTCAAATTGAGGAACTACAGTGAGCCTTGGATCAGTTAAAGGCTCAGCGAGATGATGTTAGAGTAGATGCCATAAAGCCAATCAAATATTGTAGAATTGACTCTTTGTAACAATGTTCATTAATTAATAAAAAGGCATTTTATTCTATATCGTGTAAATCATTATTATAGTAATATGTATTGATATATGTCCTTAGAATGGTGGAACCGTGACGAGGGTATCAAGTGTTTCAAATCTTGATAGTGAGAACCCTATGAACATACATGGTGGCTATTCTAGAAACATCCGCAACCCCAATATTATTTTGAAGTAAGGGCACAGATAATACGGTAAAGCTATCATAGTGTTGAATTTTGAAGTAAGGGCACAGATAATATGGTAAAGCTATCATAGTGTTGAACGACCCTGTCGAAAGGTAGTGACTGATCTCACTTGTCAAGGTTGTTTGGTGACAACCTGGTGCAGCACATGGGTGGTTGTTGTAGGCAAATACACCGCAGCAAGTTCACTGGACTGACCCACCAAAGGATTCCATATGGATGGTAACCCCAATGTCTATGTTAAAAATCCTCTAACGAATGGTGGTGCATGTGATCCTTAGACTTGAGATCATCGGAGTACCTTATGCACCGATTGGTGTAGTTTGACACTAGCCTAACGTAGTTCTTTTCAGAGCTGTCAATACGGTGGTGATTGGCTACATCAAGGAGTGTATCAAGACTATGGTAGATAGACAGAGGATTCATCACTCCCGGGTATGGGAGAAGTTATCTCACGTTGCAATTCAGTATATGGCAATGACACTAAAACTATGGCCACAGTGGGATTGAGTTGTTGCTCTATCCAGATTATAATACAGGTCATTGGTCCAGAAACTGAATATATAATATCGAGAGTAACCGAAGGTTGACACTATTTCTATGCCTTCGTCTCGTCGAGATAACGTATGATGAAAGGATCGAATTGCACGGTAACCATATCGTTGACAGGTAGCTACTTTGCTGAATCCGAATCTATCGGGTGGCCATGATGCCTTGCTAGGGGCCAATCTTGGTCTGTGTATTAGTGAGACGATTAATTGGTGTTAATCGCAATACTATACACTGCCGATATGATGAGGAGCCTAAGGGTCACACACATAGAAGACAATTTAAGATGCAAGAAGAAAGAAGGGCGTTTTCGTCTTTTAAGGCGAAAGGGTATTTTGGTAATTTCACAGTGCAATTAAATTTGCTGAGGTCGTAGCCTTTATTTAATTTATTAGAAAAATTAAATAAGTGAAATTACGTTTAAATATGTGTTCGCATATATTTAATTAAATAATCATTATTGTTAAATGTTAATATATATATTAAATATATATATTAATTGATTTTAATTGAAGATAATGATGAATTAAAATAAATATCTAATTGGGAGTGTTTGGAAACATGGGGTGTTTGGGTTGGAGCCCAAGCCTATTCCATATGGGAATAGGGCAATTAAAAACATCACTATAAAAGAAAAGGTTTCTTTGCAAAATGCAAGAGTTTTTCATTACACTCATTTTTCATTGAAAAGAAAACACACAGCCCCTCATTTCACTCTCTCACGCCAGAATTGATTTTTGCCTAAAATCAATTTCTCTTCATTTCTTCTTTGATTCTTAAGGCTAAGGAGGATCTAGCAAATCCCTCCTTAGTTCTTTGTGATTGTCTTTGTGTGGACCACGTCGGTTCGATCCTACACTTGGGTCGGTAGCAAAACGTTCAAAGACAAAGTTGGAGGAGCCTCCAAACGTGTGTATGGTTTCTAAACTCAAGAATAATTTTTCTGCAGATTTCTACTTTGATATAAACTGTAAAATTATACCTTTGATCTTGGCTCATGGGAACGATCCTTGTATTATGATTTTTGTTTTTCGCTGCGTATATGGACTGTTTCCTAACAGATGAGCAAGGGCAGGTCATAGAGGCGTCTCCCTTTTCTCTAACTGTGTTAGCCACGCCTCTCCTATCCAGATTCAGAATGCCTGATATGTGAGCATTCGATGGAAATTCTGATCCGCATGATCATTTGTACGAGTTCAACGACCTCATGGAACTCCACCAAGTCACTGACTTGGCAAAAAGCCGTTGCTTGGCAGTAACTCTTACTTCACATGCCAAGCGATGGTTTAGGTCGCTCCCAGCAGGATCAGTCAGTTCGTGGCCTCAGATGAGCTCAACATTGCTGAGACACTTCCAAGCGAACAGGAAGTTCTCAGTGCCTTTGACTACCTCAGCAACATAAGGCAAGAGAGGGATGAATCCCTCCAATCTTATATCGACAGGTTCCACCGGGAGCTCTATAAGGTAGCTCACACTCGCGAAGAGTCCGTTTGGACTCTCATCATCGCAGGAGTTCTTCCACAGACAGACCTGTGGAAAGAGCTTCAATCTGGGGACGATATTTCCCTCACCCGCTTTTATAGCCTTACGAAAAAATACCTCCGCATTTAAAACTCTGTGGCGACGCTCAACCTCCACGACCCCGGTCCTTCGGGTAGTATGCCTAGTCGAGGGGAGAATAGGAGGGCTGATCGCAAATGGGCTAATGACGATCAGCGAAAAGGAAAAAAGTAGCAGTATAAGCCCAAGAAATCTTACACCCCAGTTCCTCGTTGCGATTGCGACAAGAGTCAGTACACTCCTCTGAATGCATCGGTCTCTGCTATTCTTAATAAGTCAGAAGAGGTCGGCCTGCTTAGGGAGCCTAAGCCTATGAAAAATCCCTCTTCAGCCAAAAACAGTAAGAAGTACTATCGCTATCATAGGGATAACGGGCATCTCACTGATGAGTGTTGGGCCCTTAAGCAATCGATTGAAGACCTCATTAAGCAGAGGCAGTTCAAAGAGTATGTTGATGACTCTGCTCCTATGCGGGAGAAAATCAGGAAGAACCGGGTAAGAAGCGTCATGGTTGCAAGGGTATCTGCAGCGTAGGGATAATCTTTGGGGGACCACACCTCGGAGGGAATTCGCGAGGTGCCCAAGAGAGGTATGCTCGCGTAGCCCATCACGACCCCATCCGTGTAATGAACACGATGCTGTGACCGTCAAAGGTTCGTAGGGAGGAGGAAATCACATTCTCTGAAAAAGATGTAGTCCAATTGCATCATCCCCATGACGATGCTCTCGTCATCACGCCCCAGATAGGGCGTTGCGACGTCCACAGAATGTTAGTGGATAACGGAAGCGTTGTGAACATCCTGTTCCAGTGAGCTTTCGAAAGAATGAAGTTGGTTGAGGCCGATCTGAAGCCCGCCTCCATCCCGCTATATGGTTTCACCAGGGATCATCTGATCCCTAAAGGGATGATCTCACTCCCGATCACATTGGGTGACTTTGACGAGGTGACCAATTGATTTCTTAGTAGCGGACTATCCGTTCGCTTTCAATGGCATCCTAGGGCAACCTCTACTAAGAAACTTCAAAGCAGTCACTTCGATTTACCATCTCAAGATGAAGTTCCCCACCCCGCGGGGATAGGGGAAATAAGCAGATCTCAGCGTGCGTCTCACGACTACTATGTAAGGGCAGTGCAGATGGCGTGCAGGGGAAAAGGCACTCCACATGGCATTCCCGAACAGGCAATGGCGATCAGTCGGATCAAACCACAGCCTGGTCCAACGGAGGATAACTTGGTTCCTCGTATCCAAGAATGCCCTTCCAGTGGGCTGGTTGAGGATTTATCTAAAGTGTCAGTCGGCCAGAGCGAGTTGAGTTGAGTGTTGAGGATTGGAAGCAATCTCAACCCCCAGCTCGCCAACGACCTGACCTGCTTCCTCAGAGTAAACATCGACGTGTTCGCATGGACGCATGCCGACATGGTTGGGATCAGCCTGAATATCATTTTCCATGCCTTGAACGTCAATAGTGAGGCCAGGCCGGTCCGCCAAAAGAGAAGAGCAATGAATCCGGAGCGATATGCTGCCTTGAAGGTCGAAGTAAATGATCTCCCTCAAAATGGATCCATTTGGGAGGCGCTCTACCCGAGCTGGGTTGCCAACTCGGTTTTGGTAAAGAAGCCCAATGGTAAATGACAGATGTGCGTTGACTTCACCGACCTCAACAAAGCATGTCCTAAAGACAGCTTTCCCCTGCCAAGGATTGACCAACTCATTGATGCCACCTCTGGGCACAAGCTGTTGAGTTTTATGGTCACCTACTCAGGATACAATCAGATTCTGATGTACATACCAGACGAAGAGCATACCTCCTTTGTTACAGATCAGGGGCTGTATTGCTACAAGGTTATGCCCTTCGGCCTAAAAAATGCTGGAGCAACTTACCAGCGACTAGTTAACCAAATGTTTTTCGAACAGATCGGGAAATCAATAGAGGTCTATGTTGATGACATGCTGGTCAAGTCGCATGTCTCTTCTGATCACATAGCACATCTCGCTGAGATGTTCGACATACTCTGGAAGTACAGAATGAAACTCAATCCTCTCAAATGTTCATTCGGAGTCTCCTTAGGAAAATTTCTTGGGTACGTGGTTAACCAGAGGGGAATGGAGATCAACCCCGAAAAAATCCAAGCTCTCCTCAGCATGAAAAGCCCGACCAACTGAAAATGGGTTCAAAGTCTCAATGGGTGAATGGCGACACTCAGTCGCTTCATATCGAGGGCAACAGATCGCTGCTTGCCATTCTTCAATATACTTCGGGCCAATAAGAAGTTTGAGTGGACTCCCGAATGCGAACAGGCATTCCAGAGCATTAAAGAGCACCTTGGAAAGCCACTTCTTCTGTCCAAACCTTTCCCGCAAGAAATTCTCCTCCTATATCTGTCCATCTCTCAGTACACAATCAGTGCAGCTTTAGTTCGGGAAGAGACTAGGGTTCAATGGCCAGTATACTATGCGAGCAAGCATCTGCTGGATGCTGAGATATGGTATCTAGAAATGGAGCGATTGGCTTATGCCCTACTGATCGCCTCCAGAAAGTTGCGACCTTACTTCCATGCCCACACAATTAATGTATTGACTAACTACCCGCTCAGGCAAGTCCTCTAGAAGCCAGAGGCATCGGGTAAATTGCTCAAGTGGGTCATGGAACTAAGTCAGTTTGATCTACAACACAGACCGAAAGCAACCATCAAAGGGTGGGCTGTTGCTGATTTCATCTCGGAATTCTCATGTCATCCAATGAAGGAATCTGAGCAATAAGCCAACGAGGTCACCCAGGAAATTGTTTGGAACCTATCGACCTGGAGCCTCTATGTCGATGGGTCATCCAACAGGAAAAGGGTCGGGGCAAGCCTTCTCCTCTTAAGTCTAGAAGAGACTCGCATTCATGGCATTCTCCATTTTGGGTTCAAAGCAACCAACAATGAGGCCGAGTATGAAGCTCTGCTCTCTGGATTACAGTTGGCAAGAGAAATGGGATCAACCATGATTAGCATCCACAGCGACTCCATGCTAGTTGTCAACCAGATTTTGAGGGAGTATCAGGTCAAGGAAGAAAACATGATCGGCTATTTAAAGAAAGCTAAGGTCGCACTCGAGCCATTTAAGCACTTCACGATCACGCAGATCCCTAGAGACAGCAATTTTCTCATGGATGCCTTGGCAAAGGTAGTCTCATCGCTGGACTCGGATGCGCCAGAGAGCATTCCTGTTCCATTCATAGAGGCCCCCAGTATCAGCTCGCCCGAACAGGCCTTGAATGTGACCGAGTCAGTCCAACGATGGATGACCCCTATCATTCAATATCTCAGAGATGGGACCTTGCCCAACGACAAGGTCGAGGCAAGAACCCTGCGAACCAGAACTACTCGTTACACACTTATAAGAGATCAACTGTACAAGCGAGGGTTTAGCGCCCCTCTTCTCTGATATGTAACTGATGAAGAAACAGACTATATCATGAGGGAGATACATGAAGGAATCTATGGTAATCATATGGCCGCACGATCCCTTGCCAACAAAGTTGTTCGTCAAGGGTATTACTGGCCCCTCATTCAAGAAGACACCTATAACTTTGTTAAAAAGTGTGACAAGTGCCAACAGTTCGTGAACATACCGTGAGCTCCTTCCCACCAACTGATAACCATGTCCAGCCCCTAGCCATTCTCCATGTGGAGAATCAATCTCATTGGACCCATGTCAGCTGGTAAAGGGGGAGTCAAGTATATGATGGTTGCGATGGACTACTTCACCAAGTAGGTCGAAGAGAAGCCTTTGGCCGCGATTACCACCAAAAAGCTTAAGGATTTCGTCTTCAAGAACATTGTGTGCCGCTATTGGATTCCTCATACTCTTATCTCTGATAATGGAAAGCAGTTCGATAACGAGAAATTCAAGTAGTTTTGCGACTTGCTAGGTATCCATAAGAAATTTGCCTCAGTCACAAGACCGAAAGTAAATGGTCAGGTTGAAGCTGTCAATAAAACCATCAAGCACACTCTGAAGGCCAAACTTGGCGCAGCCAAGGGAAATTAGGCCGACAACCTCCCAGAAGTGCTATGGGCATACAAGACAACTCCGAGAACCTCTACCTCAGAAACACCCTTCTTGCTAGCATATAGTTGCGAAGTAATGATCCCTGTGGAGGTAGGAACGGGTTCGCTTCGGAGAGACATGTTCAGCGAAGCAGACAATGAAGTGCTCATACATGCAAGTCTGGATTTAGTTAAAGAACATCACTGCAAGACTCAGCTAAGAATAGCAGCCTATCAGCAGCGCACGAAAAGGTTCTTCGACTATAAGGTTAGAAGAAGAGACTTCCAGGTCGGCGACCTCATCTTGAAGGAAGTTCTTCTCGGTACAAGAGAACCAAGCGTGGGAGTCTTGGGGCCAAATTGGGAAGGCTCGTACCATATCGCCAAAGTGATAAGACCGAGGACTTATCACCTCAAAAAGCTGAACAGTTCTGAAGTACCGCGAGCTTGGAATGTTGAGCATCTCTGCCTATATTATCATTAGAATGCGACCTCAACATCTTCAGGTTGGTCACCAATCACCTGCCTAGGTGTGGGCTCCTCTGGGACATCCTCCGGGTGCTTCTCTTTCGGGTCAAGTCCCATAGCCGCTTCCTCATCCTCGGCCCGCACCATAGAGCTGAGGGCATCCTGGTACTCTTTAGGGAGGTTGGTCAAATCCATCCTAGGGTTCTACAGTTGAAGGGTATAGATAGACTAGATTGTCAACTTGACAGCCCTCCTCTCAATCTCTAATTCTTACTGCTACATCTCTACAGTTAGTGAAGTGACTTGGCCTTGGGTGAATTGGAGTTCGGCCTCAAGCGCCCACTCTGCTTTTTGGTGGTCTCCCACAGCTCCGCCCTTTCCCACTCTACTCGCAAGGCCAGCTCAGAGTTCGTTTGTAGCTCATTTTCTTTCTCGCCATCCTCCTTGGTGAGTCTGGCCACTGTTCTTTGGAGCTCCTTTACTTCCTTACCTCGCTTCTCTAGCTCAGCCTTCTGATTGTCCACCGTGCGAAGAGTAGCATTCCTTTCGGACAGGTACTGATTCACCTGAACGGTGGATAAGTCTTTCTCTGATTGAGCGGCTTCTAAGTCCCATTTAAAGCCGTGTGTTCTCTTCTCTTATCTCGACCAGCCCCTCAACTGAGCTTTCTGTATGGACAAAGGCATGGAGAGCAGGGCCTACATAACGAAGAGAGTTAAGAGTTAGTTTCCGTTCTACTGAAAAAAGCAAATGTAAAGTCCATGCTGAGGGCAGCTCGTTTTACCTGGCTTAGGTGTTGGAAGGATGTGGACATTAGGTCCATGGGGTTGGAGGCCAAGAACTACTCGAATGCCTCCGTGAGCCCGCACTCCAATAGGGTGAAAACCACTAGCTACAAATGATCCAGAAGTTGCCCTATGGAGTCTAGCCCGACCTCCTTCCGGGACCTGCATCCTCCCTTTGCCTTGACCGCGAACCCTCTGGGCAATGGAGATGCCGATCGCACCCCAGAAGGCCCTCCCGAGCGGAATGCTTGGTAAGGCTGTGACCTCTCGGGCTGAATGCCCAGGCCCTTCGGCTCGGACTCTGACTCCTCAGCCCGAAGTTGCTTTCGCTTCTTGGACTTTTGGGCCATAGTCTTGTGCTTCGGGCGAACAGCCAAAAGCTGGGGAACGCCTGCAGATCAGACCGGAACACTTGCCACTGTCCCTCCGATGGGGGGACTGCTAAGAGCCTCTCCAGTGGGTCCGGTGACGCTTACTCAGGGGAAGGTGAACTGTTTTGGTCGCGGTGATCTGGGCACTTTAGGAGGCATGGTCACTGCATGCAAACATCGTTAGCAAAACAGTTCGTTGCATGCAGGATAAAGAAAAACAGGCCAAGGTTATGGTGCTTACTCGGTATGGTCTCTAAGGTCGCTTCGGGATTGAAGAAACTGTATTTCCACAAGTTCGCGGTTGTCACTAGCAGTCTCACGTCGCGACTCTCTTCGGGCAAAAAGCCGAAAGCAGTGATTCTGTCAGGGTCCTCGAGAGTTGATAACCTAGTCGTCTTGTTAACTACGAAGAAACAAAAAGCTCATTAGCAAAGATTAAGAGGAAATTCGTGAGCTCAAAGAAACGAGAACCTACTTGGCTCCTTAAATTGGCAAATGCCATCATATCGAAATAAGGAAAACCTTGTCTCATACGCCCCAACATTTCTAGGGTAGCTATGTATTCCTGCTTTGATTGTATGTCATTTCGAGAGGTAGAAGGAATCCTTGTCCTTACTCTTCTTCAGGATGTACGAGCAACCAAGCTCTAGCGCGGTTAGCTCGCCCAAACCGTTTTCACCGCATGCGATATACATAGCCACGACTATCATATATGCATGATAATCATATTCTACACTGTGATTTTGCATTGAATTTTGATAGGATTTAGGATAATTTTCATACAATTTGGACCATAATTGCTACCTAATTCTATTAATTTGTCTTTGCAGGCCTAAACGATGATTTTGAGCATAAATAATAGTTTTGAGCATAAATTGCGTAACTTGAGCTTGGAAACTCATAATGACCTGATTTTAGAAGCTATCAATTTGGACCATAATTGCTACCTAATTCTATTAATTTGTCTTTGCAGGCCTAAACGATGATTTTGAGCATAAATGACAGCTTTGAGCGTAAATTGTGTAACTTGAGGTTGGAAACTCGGAATGACCTGAATTTAGAAGATTTGGAAAGATAAGAAGAAGAGCTACAACTTTCATGTTTTGGGTGTTTCCTAATTCTGATTGGACAAGGGTGGCACCTTGGCTTGAAGTCGTGAAAAGTACACTGGGAACTGAAGAAAAACGTCTTTGGACGTGCTTCAGTATTTCTGAGATAACTTGAGCTGTAGATCTCAGATTGTGCTTACTGCTGAACGAATAGAAAGATAATTTAAAGGGCTAAACCTCATATGTTTAACACGTTTCCAGATTCAGACTCTATCATGCTCAAAATTGGCCCGAACTTTCTTGCCGTGGCGAAACCTGCATCAGTTGTAAAAATAAAACGACGCGTTTTGGCTTGCTAGGGCTTGGTCCTTAAGTGAAAAAGNAAATAAAAAGAAAAGAAATATGGTTTTTCTTGGCTAAGGTCATTACCTTATCAAATGATGAATCTGATTGCTCTCTCTCCCCTTCGTAAAAACGATTTTCCAAAATCTTTTCCTCAAACATCTCTCATGTTTAACAAATAAAGATAAATAAAAAAAAATAAAAAAACAAAAACGAAATACAATTAACTAAATGCAGACTTTAGTTTTTACAATACAACAAAATTTTGAAGATCTAGCATGGTCTATTGTTCTTTAATTAGACTCTTAAAATAAATGCTAGACTTGATCTAGACTCTCAAGTTTATCATAGCTTGGCGCGATAAATTAGTAATATCACATTTATTATTTCACTAAGGGTATAATTGGTAATTTGGAAATTGTGATTTTTGAGTTCATTATATATGTCCAAAACTCATAATAATGTGTATTTTATTTTTTTGTGGAAACACCGTTTCGCCCTCACTTTTGTTGAAGACATAATTTTTTTTTCTTGAACAAGCAAATTTTAGTTTAATTAAAATATTATTAAGTTTAGTTAACAACAATAGGGTTAAGAGTAACTAGTGCTTGATTAATTTTAACAAATCAACAATGACCATATCTGTGGTGAATTTGGTCGGAAAAGGCCATATCGGCACACGATCGGCCAGATCTGGTCAGTTATATGTCATAACGCCAAATCTCCACCAGATTCCGACGATGGTGCCTGGTATCTGGCAAATGTGGGTGGGTGAGGGTTTTTTTTTTGTCAATTTATAAAATTTTATTATTACCGGTGTTTAGCTAAATTAACAAACCTAAGGGTTTTTTTTGTTAATTTTCAAATTCTATCTCGTAATAACAATCCAACTCAACTTTTTAAAAAATACTACTCCAAACAATAAAACAAGCAGAGCCTAGCATTTTTTTTAGTTGTTTGTTTTTGTACGTGTGTTAAATAGACAATAAAAAATATAATTTTAATATTTTTCTATTTTAGAATAGGTTTAAGTAAAAGTCAACAATAAGTGTCATTAAATTATTAAATCATTTTTCTAGAAAACAAACCTTCAAGGAGGAAATACCGTGAACCAATAAAACAGTTCCTAAATAAGATTAATATATAATATTTAGATATATGTGTTGAACTTCTTCAAATATTAGTTTTCTTAGTTTTATTTGATTTTCTTATATTTTATAGGTGTATGGGCCAAAAAATACCTTGGGCCTAAGCAGGCCCAAATACGAAATGTCTACTATGTGATCCAAAGCCATGGCCCAATTCTGGTTAGGCCTACGATATAATTCGCATAATGGGCCAGCCCATTATACCAACCAGGCTACTCACGAATTGGATTACCCAATCATTAAGGCTTTATCCCAATTAGGCCTCATTGTTAGTCTATGTGGGCTTGAGCCCATTAGCCCATAACAACTATAAAGGGTTTAGAATTCTACTTCAACCTTAGGACATCTACTTCCTATTTCACCACTATCCTAATTAATTACATCCTAATTCATATAAGATCCTGAATCTTATATTGAATAGGACTCCTACTCCTACAAAGGAAAGTGAATCAAAGATTTTCCTATTAACTAAACCTCTTCCATTATGGACTTAGAATACTACTAGGATTTGAAAATCTTATGACTACTATATAAACAAAGGCATGCCCTCTCATAAAGCATTCAGTTTCGACTACTCAATACCACCTATTAGCTCTCAAGTTCTTGCTCCTAAGAACTATACACTTTCGCCATAGTTCTAGTCTCCGACTAAACTTTCGCTAACCTTTTCATTCCCTTACCGTCATTAAATAGCCTCTTTCAGTCTTGTTGACTTGAGTGTCGGACTGCCCATGGCAGACACCACCTGGTGTTTTCCGTAAGCTTCACTTTGCTTCTTTGTGCAGGTGCAACAGATTGTCAGTGACTTCAACCTTAGAAGATCAGAACCTTCCCGTAATTGTAGATTTTATCGTCTACAGTTTGACACCCACAGTGGGGCCTTTGGTAATCATCCTTCCGTCGACACTCTACTCCACAAGGAATCACATCATGGCTGAAACTAGAGACAATGCCTCCCCAAACCTCGCAGCTAAGCTCAAAGCCCTCACCGCCCTAACGCAACAACACTCGGACAAAGTCACAACATTGGAAGTCGATAACACCACCATTCAGGCTAAAAACCAAACCTTCAAAGAAAAGGTCAATCAATTCTACAACTTTGATCTCCCACCTAACTAAGTGCCACCCAATCGCTTCATGCAACCTCTCATGACCAAACCAACTAAAGTAAATCTTGCTATTGAAATTTGAATTTAATTTACAATGATATTAAAAATGTTTTTTTTTTCTATTTGTTCTTCAAAATTTTAAATATATCAAAATTTATATTTCATATAGACGAATGTGATATATTAAAAATTAAAGATATTGGTTTTACTTTTTAGAAGTTATATGAATAATTTTTTCATATAGATTATCAAGCTAATCATGTTTGTTGAAATATTTGTATTATTAAAATAATATTATGTATAATTAATTATGATTACTAATTTTATATTATATAAAAGAGTTATATTGATGGTCTTGAAGTTTGATATAATAAAAATAATCTAATTTATA